ATATATCGGCCCCCACCCTGAGTGGTTCACAAGACCACTCAGGGTGGGGGCCGATCCCCCCTTTCATCCAAGGTGTAGTATACCTTCCTCTAGGGTGTGGCCCTTCACCTTCCAAGGTTCATGGTCTGCACCCTTCCAGGGAATGACTCCCCCCCTCCCCCCCCCCCCCCCGACCCTATCCTCTAGGGTGTGACCCATTTGTAAGTTTTTGAACAAAATCTCTAAAGTTTCCTCAATTAGAGTGAAGGCATGTTTAAGGAAGACCTGCCCTGGCTGCCCCACAGACACAGTTCCAAAACCTTCACAGAGGAGATCTACTCGCAGACAGGCTGGCCACTCCCCTCCCAGAGAGGCTGGCCACTCCCCTCCCAGAGAGGCTGGCCACTCCCCTCCCAGACAGGCTGGCCACTCCCCTCCCAGACAGGCTGGCAACTCCCCTCCCAGACAGGCTGGTCACTCCCCTCTCAGACAGGCTGGCAACTCCCCTCCCAGACAGGCTGGTCACTCCCCTCTCAGACAGGCTGGCCACTCCCCTCTCAGACAGGCTGGCCACTCCCCTCCCAGACAGGCTGGCCACTCCCCTCCCAGACAGGCTGGTCACTCCCCACCCAGACAGGCTGGCCACTCCCCTCCCAGAGAGGCTGGTCACTCCCCTCCCAGACAGGTTGGCCACTACCCTCCCAGACAGGCTGGCCAATCCCCTCTCAGACAGGCTGGCCAATCCCCTCTCAGACAGGCTGGCCACTCCCCTCTCAGACAGGCTGGCCACTCCCCTCCCAGAGAGGCTGGCCACTCCCCTCCCAGACAGGCTGGCCACTCCCCTCCCAGAGAGGCTGGCCACTCCCCTCCCAGAGAGGCTGGTCACTCCCCTCCCAGACAGGTTGGCCACTACCCTCCCAGACAGGCTGGCCAATCCCCTCTCAGACAGGCTGGCCAATCCCCTCTCAGACAGGCTGGCCACTCCCCTCCCAGACAGGCTGGCCACTCCCCTCCCAGACAGGCTGGCCACTACCCTCCCAGAGAGGCTGGTCACTCCCCTCCCAGACAGGCTGGTCACTCCCCTCCCAGACAGGTTGGCCACTACCCTCCCAGACAGGCTGGTCACTCCCCTCCCAGACAGGCTGGCCACTCCCCTCCCAGAGAGGCTAGCCACTCCCCTCCCAGACAGGCTGGTCACTCCCCTCCCAGACAGGTTGGCCACTACCCTCCCAGACAGGCTGGCCAATCCCCTCTCAGACAGGCTGGTCACTCCCCTCCCAGACAGGCTGGCCACTCCCCTCCCAGAGAGGCTGGTCACTCCCCTCCCAGACAGGTTGGCCACTACCCTCCCAGACAGGCTGGCCAATCCCCTCTCAGACAGGCTGGCCAATCCCCTCTCAGACAGGCTGGCCACTCCCCTCCCAGACAGGCTGGCCACTCCCCTCCCAGACAGGCTGGCCACTACCCTCCCAGAGAGGCTGGTCACTCCCCTCCCAGACAGGCTGGTCACTCCCCTCCCAGACAGGTTGGCCACTACCCTCCCAGACAGGCTGGTCACTCCCCTCCCAGACAGGCTGGCCACTCCCCTCCCAGAGAGGCTAGCCACTCCCCTCCCAGACAGGCTGGTCACTCCCCTCCCAGACAGGTTGGCCACTACCCTCCCAGACAGGCTGGCCAATCCCCTCTCAGACAGGCTGGTCACTCCCCTCCCAGACAGGCTGGCCACTCCCCTCCCAGACAGGCTGGCCAATCCCCTCTCAGACAGGCTGGCCACTCCCCTCCCAGACAGGCTGGCCACTCCCCTCCCAGACAGGCTGGCCAATCCCCTCTCAGACAGGCTGGCCACTCCCCTCCCAGACAGGCTGGCCACTCCCCTCCCAGACAGGCTGGCCACTCCCCTCCCAGACAGGCTGGCCACTCCCCTCTCAGACAGGCTGGCCAATCCCCTCCCAGACAGGCTGGCCACTCCCCTCCCAGACAGGCTGGCCACTCCCCTCCCAGACAGGCTGGCCAATCCCCTCCCAGACAGGCTAGCCACTCCCCTCCCAGACAGGCTGGTCACTCCCCTCCCAGACAGGTTGGCCACTACCCTCCCAGACAGGCTGGTCACTCCCCTCCCAGACAGGTTGGCCACTACCCTCCCAGACAGGCTGGCCAATCCCCTCTCAGACAGGCTGGTCAATCCCCTCTCAGACAGGCTGGCCACTCCCCTCCCAGACAGGCTGGCCACTCCCCTGTCAGACAGGCTGGCCAATCCCCTCCCAGACAGGCTGGCCACTCCCCTCCCAGACAGGCTGGCCACTCCCCTCCCAGACAGGCTGGCCAATCCCCTCCCAGACAGGCTAGCCACTCCCCTCCCAGACAGGCTGGCCACTCCCCTCTCAGACAGGCTGGCCACTTCCCTCGCAGACAGGCTGGCCACTCCCCTCTCAGACAGTGTGGCCAATCCCGTCTCAGACAGGCTGGCCATTCCCCTCTCAGACAGGCTGGCGACTCCCCTCTCAGACAGGCTGGCCAATCCCCTCTCAGACAGGCTGGCCACTCCCCTCTCAGACAGGCTGGCCACTCCCCTCTCAGACAGGCTGGCCACTCCCCTCGCAGACAGGCTGGCCACTCCCCTCGCAGACAGGCTGGCCACTCCCCTCGCAGACAGGCTGGTCACTCCCCTCTCAGACAGGCTGGTCACTTCCCTCATTCCTCCATGCCCGACACCGGACCGCCGCTCCTGCTCATTTTTAAGGTGGTTCGCCAAGCAGCATACTTTCCCCTCACTCAGCCCTCGTGCAGGGATTCCTGCGATACCTCCCCTCGTGCCTTCCCTTCCTCGCCAGTTTTTCTCTGGCTCTTGTCCTCCAGTGGGTGGCGGGAAGGGCGCCTTCTGATGTCATTTTGTTTTATATCCGATGTTTTGTGTGTTTTATCTCTGCGTGGAGTGTTTTTCTAGTTTTATGGATTTTTTTCTTAGTTTCGTTATATTGTGTGTGGGTAGTATTGGTTAAGAATGAAAAAATACTGTCTTATAATTTCGTATTTGTAGTTTTTGTCTTTTGCTTTTGTTGTTTTTATGTTTTGTTGTTGTTCGGTAGGGAACCAGAGAACACCGATACAAAAATATGAAAACCAAACCACACATCAGAAAAGGGAAAAGCAGCGACGATAATGGTCCAAGACGGACCGAAACGTCGCCGGTTTTCCATTTTGCTGATGTGTTTTGTGGTCTTCATATTTTTGTATTGGTGTTCTCTGGTTCTCTAGGAAGGCTTCTAGATGAACATTTTTTTTTTTTGAGATATATACAAGAGTTTTTACATTCTTGTACAGCCACTAGTACGCGTAGCGTTTCGGGCAAGTCCCTGGAATACGATCCCCGCCGCGAAGAATCGTTGTTACAACCAAGTACACATTTTACTGTTGAGTTAAACAGAGGCTACAGTTAAGGATTTGCGCCCAGTAAATCCTCCCCGGCCAGGATACGAACCCATGACAAAGTGCTCTCGGAACGCCAGGCGAGTATCTTACCACTGCACCACGGAGACTAGCACATCGGCACTAATTCTCTCCTACTGGCATAAGACAGACGACTTAATTCGCATAATTGTTTTCCTCGTAAATGATGATGCCTCAAAATGTCATTTCCTTTAACAAAGCCACTACTCATTATTTACTTTTTCTCCCTATTAATTTATATCCTCGTATAAATATTGTTTTAAACATAAGCTCTGTCTCCACTATTGCTATTACATCTTTTTCATTAATACATTGAGTTCATTTGTTTTGTTTGCCAGTCCATCAGCTTTTGCAAGCAAGATCTTCAGACTTTTCATTGACAATCTTTCTGATTGGTCAATTGCGAGGCTGAGTATGTGGTGTTGATTGACTGTGTTGTAGGAGATGGCCACGTTAGGTGAGGGGAGATGGCCAGGTGCGGTTAGGGGAGATGGGGAGTGAAGGGCATTGGGGAGGAATAGGCTAGAGGTATGGAGGAAGGTGCAGGTATGGAGGGAAAAATGAGAGAAAAGATTAGCATTAGTCTGTAAAGGTAGGACAAAGTTGATAAATGTGCGTGGTTGTGAGAGAGAGAGAGAGAGAGAGAGAGAGAGAGAGAGAGAGAGAGAGAGAGAGAGAGAGAGAGAGAGAGAGAGAGAGAGAGAGAGAGAGAGAGAGAGAGAGAGAGAGAGAGAGAGAGAGAGAGAGAGAGAGAGAGAGAGAGACGAGGTTCATCAAGCAACCTAGGATATAACGCATAAAGTTAGTGCTAGCTGAGGTGATTAATGAAGGCCGTGGATAAACACACACACACACACACACACACACATACACAGGTTTCATGACCAATAAACACTACTTGGAATTCACCATAAACTCGGGTGGAATGAACACTATACGACCCCACTATACCCGTCACCATTACTGCCAATGACACAGTTACGACCATTACCTTCACTATACCCGTCATTATAATCACCCTCACTATGCTAGTCACTATTCTGAACCTAACGGTTACATGTATATAAATTGTCGGGGACAGGGAGCTTGTTAGGCTTATTGAGGTTAAGGATTGATCTAACCCCTGGATAAAACCCAAAAACTTGACTAACCCCCGAGCACTTGTTTACTGCTGGGTGAACAGAGGCATGAGTGTAAAGACACTTCCACACAAACATCTCGCCCTACCTGGGAAACGAACTCGAGCCCAATCGCTTGCGAGCAACCCGCGTCAACCATAGCGCCACCGAGCGGCACCTTTGCGAATTCACACCTTTTATATTTATATTAGTGAGGTGTCATCCGGGAAAATGCCTTTGAAGAAACTGTTTACTAGATGTAAACAAAGCATTATTGAAAGATGTACAGGTTTCGTAGGTGGTTGCGTAAATGCTTGATGAATCCTTCCCCCTGAACTAGAGGGTCGGACTTGCTTGTATGGTTGTATCTTGCATTGTCTTGCAAGTAGAGCAACAAACTTCGGGACAGACTCGCAACTTCTTGATGATGGCCTTGTAGGTCGAGGCAAAGACTAGTTACTCGGGTTGTTGCTGGTTGGAACTGTTCCAGGCTGGAACTGTTGCTGGCTGGAACTGTTGCTGGCTGGAACTGTTGCTGGCTGGAACTGTTGCAGGCTGGAACTGTTGCTGGCTGTAACTGTTGCAGGCTGGAACTGTTGCAGGCTGGAACTGTTGCTGGCTGTAACTGTTGCAGGCTGGAACTGTTGCAGGCTGGAACTGTTGCTGGCTGGAACTGTTGCAGGCTGGAACTGTTGCAGGCTGGAACTGTTGCTGGCTGGAACTGTTGCAGGCTGGAACTGTTGCAGGCTGGAACTGTTGCAGGATGGCGCTGTTGCAAGTTGGAACTGTTGCAGGCTGGAGCTGTTGCTGGCTGGAACTGTTGCTGGCTGGAACTGTTGCTGGCTGGAACTGTTGCTGGCTGGAACTGTTGCAGGCTGGAACTGTTGCTGGCTGGAACTGTTGCAGGCTGGAACTGTTGCTGGCTGGAACTGTTGCAGGCTGGAACTGTTGCTGGCTGGAACTGTTGCTGGCTGGAACTGTTGCAGGCTGGAACTGTTGCAGGCTGGAACTGTTGCTGGCTGGAACTGTTGCAGGCTGGAACTGTTGCAGGATGGCGCTGTTGCAGGCTGGACCTGTTGCTGGCTGGGTCTGTTGCAAGTTGGAACTGTTGCAGGCTGGAACTGTTGCAGGCTGGAACTGCTGCAGGCTGGAACTGTTGCAGGCTGGAACTGTTGCAGGCTGGAACTGTTGCAGGATGGCGCTGTTGCAGGCTGGAACTGTTGCTGGCTGGGTCTGTTGCAAGTTGGAACTGTTGCAGGCTGGAACTGTTGCAGGCTGGAACTGTTGCTGGCTGGAACTGTTGCAGGCTGGAACTGTTGCAGGATGGCGCTGTTGCAGGCTGGAACTGTTGCTGGCTGGGTCTGTTGCAAGTTGGAACTGTTGCAGGCTGGAACTGTTGCAGGCTGGAACTGCTGCAGGCTGGAACTGTTGCAGGCTGGAACTGTTGCAGGCTGGAACTGCTGCAGGCTGGAACTGCAGTTATTCTCAATAGTTCACTGAAGCAGTGAGGATCTGCTTGTTGTTTGTTGAGTGTGTGTGTTTATGTGTAATTACCTAAGTGTAGTTACAGGATGAGAGCTACGCTCGAGGTGTCCCGTCTTCCCAGAACTCTTCATCGTATAACGATTTGAAACTACTGATGGTTTTGGCTTCCACCACCACCTCACTTAGCTTGTTCCAACCGTCTACCATTCTGTTTGCAAAACAAAACTTTCCAATATTTTTTTCCGGAACATTTGTTTCCTTACTTTGAATCTGTGTCACTCTTGACACAGGAGTGTCAAGAGTGACACGTGTACTCACCTAGTTGTGCTTGCGGGGGTTGAGCTCTGGCTCTTTGGTTCCGCCTCTCAACCGTCAATCAACAGGTGTACAGGTTCCTGAGCCTACTGGGCTCAGGAACCTGTGTGTGTGTGTGTGTGTGTGTGTGTGTGTGTGTGTGTGTGTGTGTGTGTGTGTGTGTGTGTGTGTGTGTGTGTGTGTGTGCCAAATTTCGCTAAAACAAGATACATAACATAGCCTGGTATGTTACTGATACAGCGCCCTCTATACCATCCCTGTATGCCTAGAACTAACACCGGCCAGCGCCCCACTTCACAGCTCTCGCAACATCACCCCCCTCCCCCCTTTTCCTCCCCCTCTCCCCTACCCCTTCCCCCTCACCCCTGTATGCAGAGAGCAAACATGGGGATCCCCTCGTGTCACTGCAGTTAATGATCTGAGACTATATAGGCGATCCCAAACAATGACCCAGCCTCGTGGATTACCACCACCATCTCCTCCTCTATCTCCTGGACCATTGCAAGCAATTGGTATTTACCGGTATATGTCCATTCATACCCTACACCGTGTATAAACATTTACGTACACAGACCTTTATGTATACAACATCCCGGACGGTAACTTTATTCAAATTGGCTCCATAATCGCATGTGTATATCCAGCCTCTATTTGCGCATGCGCGACGTGACATACATCAGAGTAATACGAAGGCTTGCAAAAATGTGTATATCTCTTATCGCAATGAAGCTATTCAAGAAACTCACAATGACTGAGAATGAAGCTATTATAATATTGATTATAAACACATGTGACAGTCCTATGAACTAGATAACAGAGAGTATTTAAGCAGTGAAAAAGCAGATAACAGTATGGCAACCACAGGGAGGAGAGAGAGGGGCGAGAGTGGGCGACTTGGTGAACATTATTCAACTGAGATTTTTAGAGAATATAATGTGATAATGAGTACCTCTGTCTCCCTCACTCCATTTCCTTAAGCATACTGTTTCCTTGCTGTGTTGGGGGTCATTTTTCGTAGGATGTACGAGTATAGTTAGGATAATCACTGATATATTTTCTCCAGGTGGAGAATATATCAGTGTTTATCCTAACTATATTTATGTTTCATCTTTAACCTAGTTTTTCGTATATAATTATAATTTACCCCTTAAGGCAACTATAATAGTGTTCCTATTAATATTTTGTAAATCATTTACTGTATGTAAGGCTAATTATAGCATACCCCTTTGTGAAGGTATTGAGACATATCACTACTAAGGTTCACATAATGTATGTTTTAATTACTTCAGCTTAGGTTTCGTGCGTGATCGAGTCACCTTGTGTTTCGTATACTGAATACGACTCGACTCACACCTCAGTAAAGGACTCAGGCAACACTCGCCAGGATTACTCTTGATCCTGTCAAGATCCTGAGATCCTCACAGGTGATGATACACCTGTGTAAACCTTACACGTGGTCTCCTCCTCCTCTTCTCCTCTTCTCCATTCTCCGCCTCATTCTCTATTCTCCACCTCCTTAAATTCTCTACCTCCTTCCACAATTCTACATCTTCATATCATTTTTCTACTTCATTTTCCACTCCATTTTATTTCTCACGATTCTCCTCCTCAGTCTTCTCTTAAACCCTTCGGATCCTCACATACACACACACACACACACACACACACACACACACACACACACACACACACACACACACACACACACACACACACACACAGGGAGCAGTCCGTAACAGCTATCTAACTCCCAGGTACCTATTTACTGCTAGGTAACAGGGGGCATCAGGATGAAGGAAACTACCTATTTGTTTTCCGCCTCCACCGGGGATCGAACCCAGAACCTCAGGACTACGAATCCGAAGCGCTGTGTACTCAGCTGTCAGGCCCCCTGTGTGTGTGTGTGTGTGTGTGTGTGTGTGTGTGTGTGTGTGTGTGTGTGTACACGCACGCGCATTATTACCGTCCCTGACCATTCCGTGGCCGCACTTGTGCGGCCATAGTGCCATCCTGTGCCGCCCTGGTGCCATCCGGTGCCACTCTGGCGCCATCGGTGCCACGGTGGCGCCACCCGGAGCAGACGTGGTTATACCTGGCACCCCTTGAGAGGCCTTGCGTGTCCAGCCCCACTAAGGTGCTAAAGATCTATAATTTGGCATTTAATTACAGGGTTTATAGCCTGTTATTATGCCTTGAAAAGTCGCCTGGTCTTTGATCATTCAGGCTATTGTGCTTCTCCTTTTCTGCTGGCGTTGGTATTTTCTTGGTTTTTGTATATCCTATCTTCAAGCTAGTCTTAAGAAGTGAGCTTCTGACGTTGTATTATTTTCTTATTTTTATAAAGCTAGGTCTATTAAGTGGTCTGTCAGTGGGTGCCTGGCTTTTTGACATGTGAAATACAGTCTTAATTCTTATCTTTGCCTTTCCTTCTGTATTATTTTAATATTTAAATCTTTGTTTGGTCTTTTTATAGTGTTATTCTGGAATAGGATTTTTTCTTTTCTCTTTTTTTTTGCCCTCTCCACCACTCGTGGTACAACAGGCCCTCAGATCGTTCCTAAGAGGAAATTGGCGTATTATCCGTCACTTGATAAAGGCGCTCTGGCCTGCTGTTGTTACCCCCCCCCCCACGAAATATCATTCTCTTTTTCTCAGTCTTTCACTCTCTCATGCTCTCTCTCACTCTCTCTCTCTCTCTGGCTGTCTATATGACTGCATATTTCACGGTGATCATCTTCTCTTTTTTTAAACATATACTTTGCATTATTCCTGTGGGGTGGCGAGGGACAATTAGCACATTTGTCCATTTATTACGCGCGATTTTCATAATGTTTCTGGTTTCTCCAGTCCTCCGCAAGTAGAGTTTTCGGTCGCACGAAGACATTTGGAACGTCTTGCGAACTGAGTCCCGGAATCTTACTGAATTTCATAAATGAAATTGTGAATATTTTGTTCCTTTTTTTTGTAATGGGTTACTGTAAAATGAAAATGGGGGGTCACGTGAATTAAAACTCCAAGGTGTTTTTCACATCGGTTCTTAAATTGGTAAATTGAGGCATTTCGTAGTAATTATCAACCAATTTAGCGTAGCTTGTCATTTGTTAACACGTGAAAACAATTATTTAAGAAACACTTTTAATATTTACAGAATCAACTTATATTACATTCCGGTTTCTTTTTTGGAAAGTGTTTATATACAACAAATCGTTCATAGGAGCCAGAATGGGGCAAATATATATATAAACATTTTGATAGTGTGTTATATATTTGTATAAAAAAAAGTTTCCATAAAGTTATTTAAAAAATTAATTGGTTCAAAGTAATGACATAAGAACACCCAAACTCACTGACATATGTCTAACCAACGACTGAAACAATCAAGGGATCCCACGTGTTGTTACCAGTTAATTTGTATACTACAACTTTGTTTCCAAACCAGTATTTACCCAGGGTTTTTCTTGAGTCATATGCATGATAGTGAGAACCTAGATGCCTTCAGTGTTGGGTATTTCAGCAAACACTTGTCCTGAGAGACGTGCAACAGCAAGTCTCGACGACTGATCAGCTGAAGTGGTTCTGGGGGTCAGTTCTCGACGTGGCCCTGGGGGTCAGTCCTCGACGTGGTCCTTGGGGTCAGTCCTCGACGTGGCACTGGGGGGGTCAGTCCTCGACGTGGTTCTTGGGGTCAGTCCTCGACGTGGTCCTTGGGGTCAGTCCTCGACGTGGCACTGGGGGGGTCAGTCCTCGACGTGGTCCTTGGGGTCAGTCCTCGACGTGGCACTGGGGGGGTCAGTCCTCGACGTGGTCCTTGGGGTCAGTCCTCGACGTGGTCCTTGGGGTCAGTCCTCGACGTGGCACTGGGGGGGTCAGTCCTCGACGTGGTCCTGGGGGTCAGTCCTCGACGTGGCACTGGGGGGGTCAGTCCTCGACGTGGCCCTGAGGGTCAGTCCTCGACGTGGCCCTGGGGGTCAGTCCTCGACGTGGCCCTGGGGGTCAGTCTTCATATACGTTGATGACATGCAAACTTCACCAATTACTAAGCTCCGTGCCCAAGTCTCTTCCCAATTCATGTCTCTCAGATTACAACTTAAACAACTAAGTATATTGATTCAATACGCAACAAACAAGTTTCCAACTTAATCAAATCAATACACATTGTGAACAAGAATGGCACTGCAAGCTATTGGCTGAGACACAAAGCTAATGAAAATAACGTAAGAAAATCGTCTGGAAATAAAGCAGATGATAATGACCTGAGCCAAGGGTAACGAGGCCGTTTTAGAGGGCAAAATAAAACACAGGTCAACCATTTGTTTGGCTTTCATAGATCATTCGCTTTTCGATCCCATAAGCTCATTCACTCACGCGTATAATTTGTTGACGTGACCTAATCTGGAATATTACACTTTCCTTTGATCATATATACATACTCTTTTGATCATTACTTGATCATATATATTTGAGAGGACATTCGTAGAACTGACAGTAATACCAAAATACAACTTGAATCATACGAAGTACGTTTAAAAAAAAAGAACTCATTTTATACACGGCTACAATTATTGTGCAATTGTAACGTGTAGCAATGGTCTATAAACTCGAACAATTGTTTGTTCAACGAATTGAAATTCACTTAATTTATTAAAATGCTTGATTAATTGTAATTGCTTACA